TACTTACATATTTGTGTAATTATTTTAAGGCAGCATCTCCCAATGTAGCCAGACTATATTCAAACTTGAGATCCTCCTACCTCAGCTCCCTGAGTTCTGGGATTACAGACATGAACTACCACACCCAGCAGACATTAAACCCAGCTCTAATCCTGGAGCCAATGGCTCACAGCTGTAATCCTAGCTATGCAGGAGGCTGGGGGTCTAAGGATCGTGATTCGAAGCCAACCCAGGAAGGAAAATATGTAAGACTCTTATCTCCAATTAACTACTTTGAAAGAGCTGGAAGTGGGTAGAGTGCTAGCCTTGAGGGAAAAAGCTCAGGACAGCACCCAGGCCCTGAGTTCAAGCCCCATGGACTGACAAAAAAGAAAAAAAAGCTGGGTGTCAGTGGCCCATGCCTATCATCCTAGCTACTCAGAAGGCTAAGATCTGAAGATCACAGTTTCAAATGGATCTGTAGCTCTCTGTGGTTGAGAACTAGTCTTAAGGGAAAAAATTAAGAGATAGCATCTAGCCTGCCGCTGGTGGCTCACACCATAATCCTAAGTACTTAAGAGGCTGAGATCTGAGGATTTTGGTTCAAAACCACCCCGAGAAGGAAAGTCCATGAGACTCTTATCTCCAGTTAACCACCAGAAGATTGGAAGTGGCGCTGTAACTCAAATGACAGAGCACTTGCCTTGAGCTGAAGAGTTCAGGGACAGTACCCAAGCCCAGAGTTCAAGGCCCATGACCGACGAGAGAGAGACAGAGAGAGAGACAGAGAGAGAGACAGAGAGAGAGACAGAGAGAGACAGAGACAGAAAGACAGAGAGACCGAGACAGAGAGAGACAGAGACAGAGAGAGAGAGGAGGGGGAAGGAAAGGAGGGAAGTAGGGAGGGAAGGAAAGAAGGGAGGGAAGAAGGGAGGGGAGAAGGAGGGAGAGAGGGGCTGGGAAGGTGGCTCAGTGGTAGAGCACTTGCCTTGCATGCTCGAGGCCCTGGGTTCGATTCCTCAGCACCACATAAGAAAAAAGCCCGAAGTGGTGCTGTGGCTCAAGTGGTAGAGTGCTAGCCTTGAGCTGAAGAGCTGAGGGACAGCACCCAGGCCCAGAGTTCAGGCCCCACGACCGGACCAAAAAAAAAAGAAGGAGGGAGAGAGAGAGTGCATCCAAGGCCCTGAGCTTGAGCTCCAGTTCTGACATACACACATAAAGAATAAAAATCCACATGATCATCTCAGTAGATATATAACAGGCTTTGGATAAAATCTAAACCTATGCATGATTAAATCTCCCAGCTGAAAATAGAAGGGAATCTTCTCAATGTGATAAATAATAGCTACAAAAATCTATAGCTATCATCACACTCACTGTTGAAAGACAGAATGTGTTCTAAGACTGAGAAGTAGTTGAGGATGCTTGTTTTCACAATGTGTATCCAACATTGTGCTGGCAATACTAGACAGTGACTTAAGGAACAATCATGATCTCCCAGTCTCTGCCTCCCAAATTGCTGGAATTATAGGCATGAACCACACTACTTGGCTTCACCCAACAATTCTATTTTTAGGAATTTATGTTATAGTTATACAGGTTGAATACTCTCATACAAAAATCCAAAACTTGAAATGCTCCAAAAAATCCAAAACTTTATGACATACAAGTAGAAAATCTAACATGACCTTATATGACCAGTTGTGATCAAAACACAGACACATTGGGCTGGGAAGGTGGCTCAGGGGTAGAGTGCTTGCCTTGTATGCATGAGGCCCTGGGTTCAATTCCTCAGAACCACATAAGCAGAAAAAGCCAGAAGTGGTGCTGTAGCTCAAGTGGTAAAGCGGATAGCACCCAGGCCCAGAGTTCAAGCCCTACGACAGACAAACAAAACAAAACAAAACAAAACACAGACACATTAAAAACATTGGAAAAAGTTATCTCCAGGCACACAAATAACTTGTCTGTTTAAACTGGGTCCTATGGGCTGGGAAGGTGGCTCAGTGGTAGAGCGCTTGCCTTGCATGCACGAGGCCCTGGGTTCAATTCCTCAGCACCACATAAACAAAAAGAAAAAAGCCGGAAGTGGCGCTCAAGTGGTAGAGCGCCAACCTTGAGCTCAAGAGCTGAGGGACAGTGCCCAGGCCCCACGACCGGACCCCCCCTAAAAAAAAACTATTAAACTGGGTCCCATCCCCAAGATAAAATCTGAAAAATATTTAAAACCTGAAACATTTCTGATTCCAGACATTTCAGATAGATAGTCATCTGAAGCCAGGCACCAGTGGCTCACGCCTGCAATCCTACCTCCTCAGGAAGCTGAGATCTGAGGATCGAGGTTCCAAGCCAACTGGGGCAGAAAAGGCTATAAGACTTATTTCCAATTAGCCACCAAAAAGCTGGAGGTAAAGTTATGGCTCCAGCCAGAACTTGAATGACAAAGAAAAGGGACAGCTTCTAAGCAGTGAGTTCAAGCCACAGGACCAATACAAAGCAAACAAACAAAACCCCTCATTTCCAGCTACCCAAATCAGATGGCTAAACCTAGTTGACTCAAACTAGGCGGGCATTTTGCAAGTCAGAAACAAACAAAAAAAAGACCTTACTGTGTAAAGCATTAATAATCTGAGATGACAAGCTTAATTTTTAATATCTCATAGCACAATCAATAGGCTTCCTGAGTCACCGGTCTTACATGCTCCATCCTCATGCAAAGGCTGCAATATTGTAGTGCAGGCAAAAATTGTTGAAAAGGTCAAAGTTCAGCTGGGGCTGGTTCTCTAAGCAAAGAGGCTCCCATTCTACAAGCAGATTTTCTTCATTGCTCAATCAATTCCTGTTAGTGGAAGAATGAATTTGAGTGTGGAGCTCACTACTAACTGTAAGTAAAGTTAACTTAAAGAAGTAGGGAGAAGAAATAAAGGAAGCAAACAACTTTTGAGAAATATACCGAAATTCCTTAAAAAAATTGCTTTTTAAATTTTATGTCAGTCCTGGAGCTTAAACTCAGGGCCTAGGCACTGTCCCTGAGCTTTTTGTGCTCAACATTAGCACTCTACCACTTGAGCCAAAGCACCATTTCTGACTCTTGGTGGTTAACTGTCTGATGAGTCTCACAGACATTCCTGAGCAGGCTGGCTTCCTCAGATGAGTAGCTAGGATTACAGGTGTGAGCCACTGGCTTAGAAATTCTTTAACGTGGCATTCTTTTCTTGATCAGAGAAACAACAATTTTCCTATGAAACAAGAATAAAATTAGCCTATTATTTATAAAACTAATGTTGGATATAGTTTATGCTAAGTATTAAGATCCTTAATTAAAGCCAGGCGTAACAGTACATGCCTGTAATCACAGCTACTCAGGAGGCTGAGGCATGAGTGTAGCAAGTAAAAAAAAAAAGTGAAAGCCGGGCGCTGGTGGCTCACGCCTGTAATCCTAGCTACTCAGGAGGCTGAGATCCGAGGATCGCGGTTCAAAGCCAGCCCGGGCAGGAGAGACCGTGAGACTCCTATCTCCAATAAACCACCAGAAAACCGGAAGTGGCGCTGTAGCTCAAGTGGTAGAGCGCTCGCCTTGAGCTGAAGAGCTGAGGGACAGCGCCCAGGCCCAGAGTTCAAGCCCCACGACCGACAAAAAAAAAAAAACAAAAAAAAAAAGTGAAATTTTTTTCCACTTGGGCAAAATGAAGGCGGAGACAGGAGTGCTTGAATTAGAGGAAGTCCTACTGATAGGAGAACAGGTAAGGCATATAGAGTATGCCTACAGAAAGGAAAAACAAACAAAAACAAAAAGGTCACTATCTGATTTTAAGCCAAACCCCTCTAACTTGGCCCAACCAAGACAAAGCAGAACTGATTTTCCACAGAACACAGGATGCATAGATTTGATATTTATTTTCCCACAGTTACTTTTTTGTTAATGTGTGTGTGTAACCCAGGCTGACCTCAAATTCAAAATTCTCCTGCTTCAGCCTCTAGGGTGCTGAGATTACAGATATGCCCCACGATGCCCAATTTATTTCAGATTGCAATCCCCAAATGAGCTACGTGATGGGGGCTCTTACCTAGAATTCTAGCTAACTACTCAGAAGGCTGAGATCTGAGGGTTGAGGTTAGAAGATAGCCCAGGCAAGAAAAGTCTATGAGACTCTTATCTCTAATGAACCAAAAGTCAGGAAGTGGAGCTGTGGCTCAAGTGGTAGAGTGCTAGCCTTGAGTGAAAAAGTTAAAGGCCAGTGCCCAGGTCCTGAGTTCAAACTCCAGTATTGGTACACACACACACACACACACACACACACACACACACACACACAAAATACCTCCTTTAGTGACAGGGTCATGTCTCTTTGGGTAACTCGATTGTCAATCCCGGGAAAAGGGCAAGGAGAAGAACCTGGTACTCAAAGCCTTGGGTCTAATTTCTGGCTCTGGTACTTATGGCTAGGGGTTACCTACTCAAGCGGTCATAATTTCTGAGTCTTAGGTCACTAAGAGACTCCGGAATAGAGCTTAACTTCATCCTTGTCTCTCGAGCAGCAGTCTTGTCGGAACCAGAAAATTCCACCGTCCCTAACCTCGCGGTGTCCCCTTGCGTCCCAGACTTTGCAGCCCCCTCAACTTCACCATCCCGCCCACAACTCCCGCACGCACTGCGCAGCACCCGAAGAATCCGCAGGCGCTGGCGGACCGCCCACAGCCTGACCCTCCTTATGTAGGACCGCCTTTCCCCGCCTCCCAGCGCTCTGCTTCCCCGGTGATTGGACGAGGGCTCTGTCAGTCCTAACCCCTGGGCTCCGCCCCCTCTTTGCCACCCACTAGACCGTAGCTCCCTTCTCTCGGTGCTCCGCAGCCCTCCGGGTCCATTTCTGCCCTGGGGTCGCGGGGGCACCTCGCCCTGGCCCCAGCCCAGGCGCAGGCCCCTCCTCCTGTCCTCGCCCCACCCCCGGGCCCCTCTCCCTGTTCTCTGGGGCTCGGCGCCGCACAGCTCGGCTCCCCCGCGCGCAGCCTGGCCGCGCTCCTCCGCCCCTCCCTCCCGGCACCGCACAGACGTCTCGGGCGCCCGGGCCAAGCGCGCGGCGCGCGGGGGCATGCGCTCCATGAGGGCTCTGCAGAGCGCGCTAAGCCGGGCGCGCGGGCACGGCCGGCGGGGAGGCTGGGGTCACCCGAGCCGGAGCCCGCTCCTCGGCGGGGGCGTCCGGTGCCACCTCAGTGAGGCCGCGGCGCGGGGCCGGGAGACGCCGCGCAGCCACCAGCCGCAGCACCAGGATCAGTAAGGCTCGCGGGACGGGGGCAGGGGCCCGGCTCGCTCCCACTCCCGCGGTGGTTCTCGCTCGCTCCCGGGGAGCCCCCTTCCCCAGGCAGCGCTCTCCCCTCCCCGCTCTCCTCGCTCACTAGCCTGCGATGCCTTTTCCTTTAGATTTGGGGCTTTGGGTCCGCCGCGCTCGGGCGGTAACGTGCCCGCCGCCCGGGAGGGCGTTTGGGCAGGTCGGTCTACGAGATGGTGCCTGTCCAAGGTGCGTACTGAAACCCCGGAACGCAGATGGGCGCCGAGTGTTGTTTGGTGCACGTGTCTGAATGCGGGGCCGTGTGCACACCCGCCCATCCCTCACCTTTCTTCGCCTCCTCGGTGGCGCTCGCTCGCGTGTCTTGTAGGGGATGCATGGGGATGGAACAGCTTCCTGCCCCAGGTCCAAGTGCACTCGGGTCCTGTCTGTTTCTGCGCGTCCTTGGCGCGGGGACTGAGAGCTGCGCGCGTTATTATTGGTGCGCAGGTGCGCACAGATCGGTTGGGTGTGTTCGCGTAGCAGGTCTCCCTCATCTGTAAAATAAGGATGGTTTTCCAAATGGTCTTTGAGTGGAGAGAATATTTCTAGTTTATGGTAGGATTCGAGTCGTACAGACGCAGATTTCCGAAACCAGACGTCAGACTTGGTTATTGGTACCCGTCAGGCTTCCTGATTGAGAAAGGTTCCCTTCCTCTGGGCACATCTTCCGTCCTGGAGACTGAACCTCTCTTTTCCTTCACTAACCAGGAGTACTTGGTGACTGTGCCTTCTTTTCTCCAAGATGCATAGTGCTGGAGCAGGAAATCTTATCCTTCCCAGAAGTCCAGCTAGACCCGGTCCAAGTAGCTCCTGCTTTTTTATTTTTATAGCAGTCACATTTTCCCTGTCATTGACATCTACCTGATGACATTTAGAAACACATATACACCATAATTAAAGTAGCCAGACTGACAAAGCACTACCTCACCACCGCTGGAGTCCTTGTCCTGAGAGGTAAAACACCAATAAGTATTATTTATTATTAGTCATTATTATGCAGTATTTTCCATCAGCATCTTCTCAAAGAGATGTGGAATACTGAAAGCCGTTCCTGTCCCAATCTCCAGCCCACTTCCTCCCATAGACTGGAAGTGGGACAGAGCAAAGGCTTCACCTCTCTCACCCTTCCACTTTGTTTGGGGTGATCACGGTAGAGGTATCATCGCTGGCTTCCTACACACACTCTCTCTAGTGGGATCAGTGATGGAATGTATATGGGAAACTAGTTTTTCTTGCTTAGAGCTGCTTGTGCTCCTGGTCTTGCACAGGTACACCCTGGGCAGAGAGAAGTTGACCCCCCCTAAGGGGGATAGATTCTGGGAGTGTGATGTCATGAGGGGGAAGATCAGCAAAGAGGAAATGCCCTGAAATTCAAATTGCTTTTTTTTTTTTTTTTGGTCAGTTGTGGGGGCTGAACTCTGGGCCTGGGCGCTGTCCCTCAGCTCTTCACCTAAAGGCTAGTGTTCTACCACTTGAGCCACTGTGCCACTTCCGGATTTTTTTCTTTTTGCTTATGTGGTGCTGAGGAATTGAACCCAGGGCCTCAGGCATGCAAGGCAAGCGCTCTACCACTGAGCCACCTTCCCAGCCCTGCTCTTTTACTTTTAACATTATGTTGGTGATTGACCTCTGAGTGATAGGTTTTGTTTTTTTTTTTAAGATTTTTGAGACATTCAAAAGTGACATGGCATTATTTCTAGTCTTCTGTCAGCAGAGATCTAACTTCAAAGTTCTTCCCAACTCTCCTCTGCAGTTAGTCCTGTTAGCTTTTTACCTCTCTTCACTATTGGCACTAGTGTCATTGTGACTTATTGGAGTCCCCAGAAATAGAAACACTGTCCCTGTTCTGCTGTTCTTCCTGGCTACAAACACACACGGGTCTAGGCTATGACAAGCTCCTTGAGAGTCTTTGTTTATTTGATGTTCTAGTGTTTAGACTCAGAGCCTCATGCTTGCTAGGCAGGTCCTCTACCATTTGAGCCATAACCCCAGTCCCAAGAGTCTATTTTTAGTGTACTATTTCAAGAGACAATCTAACCAAATAGTTCAAAATTAAAAATACACAAACTAGCCTTTGTGAAAAGTATTCCTTCCAACCTAACACTTTTTTTTTTTTTTTGGCCTAACGCCTACTTTACTTCTTATTTCTAGTTGTGTTAGTATTTTTTTTTTTCTTTTTTTGGTCTTTTGTACCTTTTTCCCCCCCAGAACTGAGAACCGAACTGCACTTGCCAGGCAAGTGCTCTTCCACTGAGCTAATCCCCAGCCTCTTCTCTTCTTATTTTTTATCCATTCTAGAATTATTTTGTACCTGAATAAGCAAACACATATGTATTTCCCCGTGTGTGTGTGTGTGTGTGTGTGTGTGTGTGTGTGTGTGTGTGTGTGTGTGTGTGTATGCCTTTCCTGGGGCTTAAACTCAGGGCCTGGATACTGTCCCTTAGCTTTTTCACTCAAGGCCGGTGCTCCACCTGAGTCACAGCTTTTTTTCTGGCTTTTTTCTTTCTTTTTTAAGTAGTTTAGTTGGTAAGAGTCTCACAGACTTTCCTGCCTGAGCTAGTTTCAAACTGTGATCCCCAGATTTTAGACCCCTGAGTAGCTAGGATTATAGACATGAGCCACTGGGGCATGGCTCTAATTTCATTCTTAATTCTGCATAATAGTTTACTATATAAATATATGGTAAATTGCCTACCTAGTTCCATAATAATGTACATTCAGGTTATTTCCAATTTTATTATTTCTAACAACGCAGTGAATAACTGTGAACATGATACTCTGTAGGTATATGAGTGTACCTGCAGGATAAATTCCTAGAAGACAAGATTGTTGGATCAAAGGACTTTGAGAGTGTATTAATCTCAGTTATCGCTCATATTTGGAAATGATTTGATAAAGTAATTCCTCTAAATTTGTTACTATGTTAATAGAAGAACTCTTGAAGACGAAGAAGACATTTGATTATTTAGGAATGTTAGATGTTACAAACCAGTGGAAGAGACATTTGGGGCAGTGGGCCCTTCCTAGCAATGTAACTTGGTAATTATTATTAAAGAACCCACTATGTGCTAGGGACTTTGCTCATTGCTATGAAGACAAAGATGTATAAAACACAAAGACCTAGCAGTGGAGCAAGAGAGTACTGACATTAAAGATGGTACGTGAGACAAATAGGCAGCACAAGCAAAATCTGGAGTTTAGCGAAGGTTAAAGTTGGTAACATTTGACCTGGACCTTGAAAGATGAGTAGGACTGTGCGAGATGAAGAGAAAAGTCATTACATGTAAAGGTAAAGCATAGCAAACGCTACAAAGCTTCCTAGTGCCTGTCCCATTTGAGTTACCATCTCTTTACTAGAGTGTGGAAGAATGGTGAGCTACAGGAAAGGAAGGATGGAAGGTTTTATAGACCCTCGAATTAAGAATTAGCTAGGTGTGGGCTGGGAATGTGGCTTAGTGGTAGAGTGCTTGCCTAGCATGCATGAAGCCCTGGGTTTGATTCTTTAGTACCACATACACAGAGAAGTGCTGTGGCTCAAGTAGTAGAGTGCTAGGCTTGAGCAAAGGAAGTTCAGAGACAGTGCCCAGGCCTTGAGTTCAAGCTCCAGGACTGGCAAAAAAAAAAAAAATTAGATGGGTGTGGTAGTGCACTTCAATAATCCTAGCACCTGGGAGGCTGAGGCAAGATGATTTAAGAGTTTGAGGGCAGCTTGAGCTACACAGTGAGACCCTGCCTCAAAGAAATAAAGAATTTACTCTAGGCACTAGGGAGCTATGATAGGAAATGCATAGGAAGGTGTAAGAAGGTGTGATGATTCATGTTTGGACATGTTTCAATGCCTGTGGAACAAGTGCAAGTGTCTAGAAGGCAACTGGAAATAAAGGCCTGAAAGTCAGAAGTAAAAAAAGGCTAGAGAGTGATAGATCCATCTCTCAAGGAAGAGACATGGAATGACATTCACCTAATTATAAGCTCATGTTCAGGGAGGAGGAGCAGGGAGTTCTCAGGCTCCTGTCCTCCTCCTATTTCTGCCTCCAAACAGTGATTCATCAGAGAGTGGCATGCTATCCCGCCTCGGTGATTTGCTCTTCTACACGATTGCCGAGGGACAGGAACGAATCCCTATCCACAAGTTCACTACCGTAAGTTACTCTATCTCTTCAGAGCTCTAAGCCCTTAGAATCTTTGGAAGTGAGCCAGGTGCCGGTGGCTCACGCCTGTAATCCTAGCTCCTCAGGAGGCTGAGATCTGAGTATCATGGTTCAAAGCCAGCCTGGGCAGAAAAGTCTGTGAGACTCTTATCTCCAATAAACCACTCAGAAACCAGAAGTGGTGCTGTGGCTCAAGTGGCAGAGCACTCACCTTGAGCTGAAGAGCTGAGGGACAGCGCCCAGGCCCTGAGTTCAAGACCCACAACCAACAACAACAACAAAAAAAAAATCCCGGAAGTGAAGAAAGGAGGATGCAGGTGCAGGTGAAGGGCAATTAGTTGGTAAGTTGCTATGTGAGGATGAAGAAGACAGATGTAGTACCAGGTGCCTAGGCTGAAGAGACAACCCAATCCCTGTCCAAAGGCCAGGAAATGAAACACTAACAATGAAAAAAAAATGTCACCAGGCACTGGTGGCTCATGCTTGTAGTCCTGGCCACTCAGGAGGCTAAGTTCTGAGTATTGCAGTTCAGAGTCAGTCCAAGTGGAAGTCTGTGACTCTGTGTATGTGTGTTTGTGTGTGTGTCAGTTGTATGACTTGAACTCTGGGCCTGGATGCTGGCTCTGAGCATTTCAGCTCAAGGTTAGTGCTCTACCACTTGAGCCACAGCGCCACTTCCCGTTTTCTGGTGATTTATTGGAGATAAAAGTCTCAGGAACTTTCCTGTCCAGGCTAGCTTTGAATCTCGATCCTCAGATCTCAGCCTCCTAAGTAGCTAGAATTATAGGTGTGAGCCACTGGCACCTGGCTTGTGAGACTCTTATATCTCCAATAAACTGCTAAAAAAAACAGCTTGAAGTGGAGCTGTAGCTCAAGTGGTAGAGTGCTAGCCTTGAATAAAAGAAGCTCAAGGAGTGGTGCTGTGGCTCAAGAGGTAGAGCGCTCGCCTTGAGCTGAAGAGCTGAGGGACAGCGCCCAGGCCCAGAGTTCAAGACCCACAACTGACCAAAAAAAAAAAGAAGCTCAAGGACAGTGTCCCAACCCTAAATTCAAGCCCCAGGATCAGCACCAAAATTTAAAAAAAAAAAAAATTCAGGAAACCCTAGTTGGTCTTCAGAGCTAGTCCAGCATCTCTTAAGTCTCCCAATCCATTTGTTCCATTTGTAGTTGGGCTTGACTTAGTTGAATATCCTGGGAAGATTATTAGGATTAGATTATTACCTTTTGAGCTGACTTTACCAGACATTTTATTTCACCCACAGGCATTGAAGGCCACTGGACTACAGACATCAGATCCTCGGCTCCGGGACTGCATGTGCCAGATGCACCGCATGGTCCAAGAATCCAGCAGTGGTGGCCTCTTAGACCGAGATCTCTTCCAAAAGTGAGGGCCCCAAAGATAAGGGCACTAGTTCCCTGAACTGTTCTGTGGACAGACACTGGGCAATTTTACAGCTCAGCCCACTTTGTTTTATTAGTTATTATACAAGTACTACATGAATACTCATATAAGTTTTAACGATTTATAAGCACATGCTCTCATTTCCCTCTCTACCACATCCTAGTCCCACTTTCCCAGAAGTAAACATTGTGAACAGATTAGTGAGCATCTTCTAGATAATATCCTATTTATTCACTAGATATTTGAATATTTATAAACATGTAAATATGACTTAGGACTTCTAAAATATATAGAGGGGACATATATGTTTATTGTTATTTCTCATATCTCAAGACATAATGACTTGAGCCATCTCCCATGTTATTATAACCCCTCATTTCAGAGGTAAAGAATGAAAACCTAGAAAGATAAAAAGTGACTTGCCAAATGTCACATAGCTATTGGTCCCAATCCAGATAGCTACTTATAACCTTCTTTGTTCTCACATTCCATGGCTCCAAAGTGAGCCTCAGCTGCATCTCTCTAGCCTTCTAATGCACTCATGTCTGGGATCCAGGTGTGTGAGCAGCAACATTGTGCTCCTGACCCAGGCATTCCGAAAGAAGTTTGTCATTCCTGATTTTGAGGAGTTCACGGGCCATGTGGATCGCATCTTTGAGGATTGCAAAGAGCTCACTGGAGGCAAAGTGAGTGCCAGGGGGATAAGGGAGGGGCAGGGGCTCTGGGCCAGACATAACTTGCTTCTCAGAGACTTTCTTTCTTTCTTTTTTTTTTTTTGGGTCCGGTCATGGGGCCTGAACTCTGGGCCTGGGCGCTGTCCCTCAGCTCTTCAGCTCAAGGCTAGCGCTCTACCACTTGAGCCACAGCGCCACTTCCGGCTTTTTTCTTTTTGTTTATGAGGAATCGAACCCAGGGCCTCAGGCATGCAAGGCAAGCGCTCTACCATTGAGCCACCCTCCCAGCCCCTCTCAGAGACTTTCTGGGGCTGGGAATCCTCCAGGATGAGAGGAGAAGCAGAACTTCTAAAAATGGGATATCACATGTTTCTATCCACCTGACTTCTAGAGCAGAGAATCCTCAGTGCTAATGGAAACAGATGGCATAAAAAGTCAACTGAAAAGCAGGGCACCAGTGGCTCACACCTGTAATCCCAGCTACTCAGAAGGCTGAGACCTGAGGATTGCATTTCAAAGCCAGCCTGGGAAGGAAAGTCTGTGAGACTCTTTTCTTTTTCTTTTTTTTTTGGGGGGGGGGGGGTCCGGTCGTGGGCCCTGAACTCTGAGCCTGGGCGCTGTCCCTCAGCTCTTCAGCTCAAGGCTAGCGCTCTACCACTTGAGCCACAGCGCCACTTCGGGCTTTTTTCTTTTTGCTTGTGTGGTGCTGAGGAATCGAATCCAGGGCTTCATGCATGTAAGGTAAGCGCTCTACCACTGAGCCACCTTCCCAGCCCCCGTGAGACTCATATCTCCAATAAACCACCAGAAAAAAACAGAAGTGGTGCTGTGGTTCAAGTGGTAGAGCACTCGCCTTGAGCTGAAGAGCTTAGGGACAGTGCCAAGGCCCAGAGTTCAAACCCCACAACCGACCAAAAAAAAAAAAAAGAAAGAAAAAATTCAACTGAAGCTTTCTAAGAGACTTAGAGTAATTGACAACCAAAAAAGGAAGCCAATTCCAGAATTCTTTTTTTCCGTGTGTGTGTGTGTGTGTGTGTGTGTGTGTGTGTGTGTGTGTGTGTGTGTGTGTGTGTGTGTGTGTGTGTGTGTGTGTGTGTGTGTGTGTGTGTGTGTGTGTGTGTGTTCTGGGGCTTGAACTCAAGGCCTGAGCACTGTCTCTGAGCTTTTCTGCTCAAAGCTAGTGCTCTATCACTTGAGCCATAGCTTCATTTCTGGCTTTTTTTTTTGGAGATAATAGTCTTACAGACTTTCCTGACTAGGCTAGCTTCAAACCACAATCTGTAGATCTCAGCTTCCTGAGCAGCTAGGATTACAGGCATGAGACATCAGTGCCCAGCCTCCAGAATTCTTTTTGTTTTAACCTTCCATGGACTTTATTGCCAGCTCTACAGGCCTGGGACTACAGAAAGATAAGGTCCCCTAGAATTTGGAAGACTTGGGTATTTCTGGGAGCAGTAGTCAGAAGGGAACCATTCTCCATGCTGGAGACAGGATCTTATCCTTTATTAAAAGATTCTCCTGGGCTGGGAATGTGGCTTAGTGGTAGATGCTTGCCTAGCATGCAGGAAGCCCTGGGTTTGATTCCTTATTACCCCATAAGCAGAAGAAACCAGAAGTGGTGCTGTGGCTCAAGTGGTAAAGTGCTAGCCTTGAGCAAAAGACACTCAGGGACAGTGCCCAGGCCCCGAGTTCAAGCCCCAGGACTGGCAAAAAAAAAAAAAAGATTCTCCTGACTCTGAATACAGCTCTGTTCTTCTCCACATCGATCTCCTCTTTACCCACTCTTGGCTAGGTGGCAGCGTATATTCCTCAGCTGGCCAAGTCAAATCCGGACCTGTGGGGCGTCTCCCTGTGTACTGTGGATGGTCAGCGGTAAGATGTTGGGTGAGAGGAAAGGGAGGGAGGGCTCCGGGCTGAGTAAAATAGAACCCCTTTCATGTCACTGTCTGTCTGCAGGCACTCTGTGGGCCACACAAAGATCCCCTTCTGCCTGCAGTCCTGCGTGAAACCCCTCACGTATGCCATCTCCATAAGTACACTAGGCACTGACTATGTGCATAAGTTTGTGGGCAAGGAGCCCAGTGGTCTGCGCTACAACAAGCTCTCCCTCAATGAGGAAGGTAAGCCACTTCAGACCACGCTCCACTCCCCTCCCCCACCCCCAGCCTTCTTTTTCTTGTTCCTTTCCCTTTTCTTCCATCTAAGTACTAACAGGCCTGACCCTGCTTAGCTTCTGAGATCAGAGATTGGCCATGGCCAAAGTACACAGCTGTAGCCTCTGCCTTTCCCCATTAGCCCTGTCCTTCCTTTCTCAGAAATCTTTTTTGTCTAACCCACAGAATGAGCAGGCTGTGAAACAGGCTTTCTTCCGTGGCTAATGAGATTCCGGTTGATTTGTATTTCCTCAGGAATCCCCCATAACCCCATGGTCAATGCTGGTGCCATTGTCGTCAGCTCCCTGATCAAGGTCAGTGCCACCCCCGTCTTCTGATAGATACTATTCTCTAAGTCTTCTTGCACAGCTCTGGGGAGCTGAGTGGTATGATTCCTTTGGGGGTTACCAAGAAGCATGTAAGAGCACGGCAGGGATCTAGGTGTGCTGAGGAGGTTTGTAAGAAGGACTGTATCACCCACCTCTCCCCATACTGTTTCCTTCCCCCACCTGAGTCTGGAGCCCAGTGCTTCCTGGACCTTACAGAAGTGCACAGCAAGTCCTGACCCCTGCCTAAAACCAAGGGCCAAGTGCCAGAGAGAACGGGGGAGGACAGCACTATTAGGCACTGATTGGCCACTCCTAGGTGAGAGACACTTGGAAAAAGGTGAATGGTCGGGCCAGGGCAGTTATTCACGTCACCTGGAACTGTGAGTTGGCCTTGAGCAAGGGTGTCAGGCAGGCACATCAGCTGTAGGTCTCCCAGGGCTTGAGCAAGAACCTGAGAACAACGTGGGCAGCCACACTCCAGAGCCAATCACAGCCCCTCCTGAGGAAGGTGGTGTTAGGAGCCCATCCCCCTGAGAACTCAGGTGTCAGAGTTTCTGCCCCCTCCCCCCAGGTGTTGACTTTATAGTTGACCTATGCAGGAAGCAAAGAGTCTGTGGTAGGAGACCAAGCCAAGTCTAACACACACACACACAGAGACACACACACACAGACACACACACACACACACACACACACACACACACACTTCCCTAAGCACTATCTACAGCCCTGCCTCTTGGACCTACCTTATCTCATTCCTATCTATGTCAGCTAAAACCTTGTCTAATGTATAAGGCCCTGAGTTCAATTCCAGAACTGAAAAACAAATAGAAAACCTTAGCTTCTTAGGTGGCTGAGATCTAGGGTTTTGTTTTTGTTTTTGTCTGTCTTGGGGCTAGAATTCTGGGCATGGGCGCTTTCCCTGAGCTCTTCAGCTCAAGGCTGTTGCTCTACACTTGAGCACAGCACCACTTCCGGTTTTCTGCTGGTTAGCTGGAGATGAGAGTCTCTCAGACTTTCCTGCCTGGGCTAGCTTTGAACCACAATCTTCAGATTTCAGATCTCAGCCTCCTGAGTAGCTAGGATTACAGGCGTGAGCCACTGGCACCCAGCTGAGAACTAGGGGCAGACAAATCCCAGAGACTCTTCAATTAAACAAAAAGATAGAATTGGAAATGTGGCTCAAGTGGTACACCAGCTATGAGTAAAAAAGCCAAGCAAGAGCTCTAGAAAGCTGAGCAAGAATGCAAGGTCTGATGGGCTGAGAAGGTGGCTCAGTGGTAGAGAGCTTGCCTTTCACACATGAGGCCCTGGGTTTGATTCCTTAGCACCACATAAGCAGAAAAAGCCAGAAGTGGCACTGTGGCTTAAGTGGTAGAGTGCTAGCCTTGAGCTGAAGAGCTGAGGGACAGAGCCTAGGCCCAGAGTTCAGGACCCATGAGTGGCAAAAAAAAAAAAGAATGCAAGGTCTGAAAGGTCCGGGACAGTGTGTCCAGGCCGAGTTCAAAACCCATGACCAATGGGCTCAGTGGCAGAGTGCTTGTCTAGCATTCATGAAGTACTGGGTTCCATTCCTCAGTACCACATATACAGAAAAAGCCAGACATGGCATTGTGGCTCAAGTGGTAGAGTGCTAGACTTGAGCAAAAGAAACTCAGGGACAGTGCCCAGGCTCTAAGTTCAAGCCCTAGGACTGGCAAAAAACAAAAAAACCCATGAGCAACAACAACAAAAAAAGAATGTAATGTCTGGAGTTCAAGCCATAGTACACACACATACACACACATACACATGCACAATTAGCTTCATTACACTTAGCAATATAATTTAATGCTGTAATATATGCAACAAAGGAGCCACACCCCATTTCTTACTCCATCTAGTGTTAGAGATAATATGGGAGTCAGGGCTTGGCTAGAGGAATGCTCTATCTAGCACAGGGTATTAGGACCAGGGTTACAAATAGGACTTAGGGCAGGACTAGAGTCAGGATGAGGGTTCAGATAAGGATAGATGTAAAGGTGAGGAGGGGGTAGGGGAGATGGGAAGGGATGGGAAGGAGGAAACAAAGGAGGCAACAATGCTTGATAAGAAATGTACTCATTACCTTGCCTATGTAATTGTAACCCCTCTGTATAGTATTTTCACAATAAAAAAAAAAAAAAAAAGAAGTTAAGGTGAGCACTAGTGGCTCACGCCTGTAATCCTAGCTACTCAGCAGGCTGAGATCTGAGGCTCATGATTCAAAGCCAGCCTGGGCAAGAAAGTCTAAGACTCTTACCTCCAGCTAACCACCAGAAAACCAGAAATGGAGCTGTGGCTCAGTGATAGAGCTCTATCCTTGAGCATAAAAGGTAAGTGTCAGTGTCTAGGCTCAGTGTCAAACCCTATGACCAACAACAACAACAAAAAAAAAGGAAGTAAAGATAAGCCTCAGGAGGAGTCAGGCTCATGTATGAATGAGGTTGTTTGAGACGGATCTCCTTATGTAGTCCAGGCTGGCCTCAAACTCTTGATCCTCTTGCCTCAGCTTCCCAAGTGCTGGGCTAATAAGTGTGTACCACCATGCCCAACTGAGTGAGGTTATCTGAATCTTCATTCTTTGATATCTGTCTGTCTGTCTATCTATCTCTATATATTTATTTATAGATAGATAGCATGCATGAAACCCTGGTTTCCATTCCTCAGTATCACATAAACAGAAAAAGCCGGAAGTGGCACTGTGGCTCAAGTGGTAGAGTGCTAGCCTTAAGCAAAAGAAACTCAGGGACAGCACCCAGGCTCTAAGTTCTAGTCCCGGGCGGGGGGGGGGGGGGGGGGGGGGGGGAGGGAGGGGGAGAGAGAGAGAGAGATTTGTCAGTCATGGGTCTTGAACTCTGGGCCTGGGTACTATCCCTGAGCTCTTCAGCTCAAGGTCAGCACTCTAGCACTGAAGCCACACACCGCCACTTCCAGTTTTCTGGTGGTTTATTAGAGATAGGAGTCTCAATGTATTTTCCTGCTGGGGTTGGCTTGAACTATGATCCTCAGATCTTAGACTCCTAAGTAGCTAGTGCCTGGCTTGATACTAGTTTTTTTTTCTGGTGTTACTAGGATCGAATTCAGAGCCTTGTACTTCCAAAGGCAAGTGCTTTACCACTTGAGCCATGCCCCCAGCCTTCTCTTTTTGAACTTATTTTTTTACTTTTTTTTTTGTCGGTCATGGGGTCTGAACTCTGGACCTGGGTGCTGTCCCTCAGTTCTTCAGCTCAAGGCTAGTGTTCTACCACTTGAGCTACAGCGCCACTTCTGGCTTTTTCTGCTTATGTGGTGCTGAGGAATTGAACCCAGGGCCTTATGCAGGCAAGGCAAGCACTCTACCACTGAGCCACCTTCCTAGCCCAGTTTCTTTTTACTTTTTTGTTTTGTGGTACTAGGGTTTTGAACTGGGGCCTTGAAATTTTGATAGGCAGGTGCTCTACTACTTGAGCTATACCCCAGCCCAAGTTAATTGGCTTGAATTTTTTGCCCAGGGCAGGTTTTGGATTGCAATTCTCCTACCTACATGTACCTGTATGCCTGTAGCTGAGACCACAGATACTCACCACTAGACTCAACTTACTGGTTTAGCTAAAAATCTCCCTTACCTTTTTCTCCCCCAGACTGGCCTTGAAACAAGATCCTCCCACTCTCTGCCTCGAGAGTAGCTGAAATTATAGGAGTATACCAGCACACCTGGCATGATGTTTCTCTGGTTTTTGTTTGTTTGTTTTTGGTAGGTCGTGGGGCTTCAACTCAGCGCCTGGGCACCGTCCATGAACTCATTTTGGTCAAGACTAGTGCTCTACCACTTTGAGCCACAACTCCACTTCCAGTTTCTGGTGGTTAATTGGAGATGAGAGTCCCACAGACTTTCCTACCTGGGATGCCTGTGAACCAAGGTCCTTAGATCTCAGTCTCCTGAATAGCTAGGATTACAGGTTTGAGCCACCACACTGGTTATTTTTTGTGTGTGTGTGCCATTCATAGAGCTTGAACTCAGAGCCTAGGCACTGTCCTGAGCTTTTTTTGCTTAAGACTAGTGCTCTATCACTTGAGCCAAGGGTCCATATTCAATTTTTAGTGGTTAACTGGAAATAAGTCTCAGTAGATTTTCCTGTCCAGGGTGGCTTTGAACTGTGAGCTTCAGATCTCAGCCTTCTGAGTAGCTAAGATTATAAGTGTGAACCACTGGCACCTGATTTGTGTGTCCTGGGGCTTGAACTGAGGGCCTAGGCATTGTCCCTGAGCTCTTGAGCACAAGGCTAGTGCTCTACCACTAGAGCCATAGCTCCACTTCTAGCTTTTTGGTGGTTAATTGGAGATAAGAGTCTCAATTTTGCTGTCCTGGCTGGTTTTGAACCACAGTCTTCAGATCTCAGCCTCCTGAGTAGCTAGGACTACAGGCATGAGCCACAGACACCCAGCTTAATGGTTTGATTTTTAAGATCACTAACTAGGGCTAGGAAGTTAGCTCAGTGGTAGATTGCTTGCCTTGCATGCATGAGGCCCTGTGTTTGATTCCTTAGTACCACATAAGCAACAACAACAACAAAAATCTGGAAGTGGCACTGTGGCTCAAGCGGTAGGGTGCTAGCCTTGAGCTGAAGAGCTGAGGGACAGCGCCCAAGCCCAGAGTTCCACCCCCCATGACCAACAATAAAACAAAAAAACAAAAAACCAAGATCACTAACTACATATATGCATGTGTTACATACTAGGTATTAAGGGGTTTTTTTTGTGTGTGTTTGTGTTTGTTTTTGTTTTTTTGGATGGTTATGGGCTTGAACTCAGGGCCTTGGTGCTGTCCTTGAGCCTTTTTGTGCTCAAGGGTAGAGCTCTATCACTTGAGCACAGCGCCACTTTTGGCTTTTTCTGAATAGTTTAATGAGGTAAGAGTCTCATGGAGACTTTTCTGTCCAGGCTTCAAACCACAATCCTCAGATCTCATCCTCCTGAGTAGCTAGGATTACAGACGTGAACTACCAGTACCCAGCTCTTTTTTTTTTTTAAGCACCAGGCATGCTGTCTTAGCTACCCATGAATGAGATGGGAGAATCACTTGAGTTCACTACCTGCAGACCATCCAAGAAAACAAAAAGAAAAGCCAAGCCGGGCGCCGGTGGCTCACGCCTGTAAACCTAGCTACTGAGGAGGCTGTGATCTGAGGATCACGGTTCAAAGCCAGCCCTGGCAGGAAAGTCCATGACACTCTTATCTCCAATAAACCACTAGAAAACGGGACGTGGCGCTGCGGCTTAAGGGGTAGAGCGCTCACCTTGAGCTGAAGAGCGCAGGGACAGTGCCCAAGCCCAGAGCTCAAGCTCCATGACGACGACGATGACCAAAAAGAAAAAGAAAGAAAGAAAGAAAGAGAAGCCATTGTAAAGTATTAACACATTTGCTGGGCACTGGTGGCTCACACCTGTAATCCTAGCTACACAGGAAGCTGAGATCTGAGGATCATGGTTCAAAGCCAGCCCAGGCAAGAATCCTTATCTCCAATTAACCACCAGAAAACCAAGCGGCACTGTGGCTCAAGTGGTAGAGCACTACTAGCCTTGAGCTGAAGAGCTCAGAGCAATACTCTGAGTCTTGAGCCCGAAGACTGGCAGATTAAAAATACACACACACACACACACACACACACACACACACACACACACACACACACACACACACACACACACACACACACACACACACACACACACACACACACACACACACACACACACACACACACACTCAGGGCAATACTCTGAGTCTTGAGCCCGAAGACTGGCAGATTAAAAATACACACACACACACACACACACACACACACAGTAGCAAGGCTAGTCTAAAACTTAAGTCCTTCAGACCCTACCTCTGGTATCCTTCTAGGACTGACATACTGACATCTCTCTCTTTCTCTGCAGATGGACTGCAACAAAGCAGAGAAGTTTGATTTTGTAAGTTCTTTGCTACTTAGCTCTTGGCTGCCTTTCTCCATGGCATGCTGTCCTCCCCAGCTGCCCCAAGTGCCTGGCTCTAAGCTCAGCATCATGTGCACCAGCTCACATTAGAAGCCCTATGTCCCAGAAATGGGAAACTACTGGTCTCATAGAGAAAAGCCTGTGGATGTCCCTGCCCTTTTTAAGCAAACCTGAGATATGCTCCAAATGGATCTGGTTCATAAGGGCTAGTCAGCCTGGAATGTGTTTAGTGGGGATCCTTAGTCAAGTGGCTCTTGCCTTGCCTCTCTTCTCTTCCAGGTGTTGCAATATCTGAACAAAATGGCTGGGAATGAATTCATGGGGTTCAGCAATGCCACGTAAGGCCCTATGTAGAAGACTGGCTGAACACACTAGTGTTGTGTGTAGATGGGGAGCGGTGAGAGGAGAGAGATTCTAGGGGATCCTTGGCCTCCTAGCTTCCTCTGAGCCCCTTCTTTGGCATTTGTTTCCTTTCTGAAATAATTTGTTCCATTTCTAATCATTATGAAATGAGAGGCAGTGTAGTGTTTGTGCTGAAGTCCTTGTCAAGACCCACCAGGCTTCTTAACTAAATGGCTGGGTACCTTTGGTGATTTTTGTTTAATACACACTTTACAACAAAGCTATGAGAGTGTTTGCTTAGACTCATACATTTACTAATATTGTGAGAAGTTAGAAGGGGGCTCATTCACTGTAGCACATGTGATGCGGTTCTGCCTCTCAGGCAAGTAATTTTTCCTTCTCCCCATACCTCTCAAGTTTCAAGTACTAAATTGGGTGTTTGCTTCAGATTCCAGTCAGAGAAGGAAACGGGGGACCGGAATTATGCCATCGGCTACTATCTCAAGGAAAAGAAGGTAACTGGGAGAAGCCAGTAGACAAAGTCCCTGGGAATTCTGGTGGCTGAAGGCAGTTGGGATTGGGGTATCACCCAAGACCATGGCAGTGTCAATGTGCGGCTTGAACAGAATGCTCTCCCCTCTCTTCCTTGCAGTGTTTTCCCAAGGGGGTGGACATGATGGCTGCCCTCGACCTCTACTTCCAGGTAAGTAAAGCATTCTCAGGGCTGAGGAAACAGGACTGCCCTCTGACTCACACCACAGACACTCCTCTCTGGTTGTTTTGTCAGAAACCCCAAAGGAACTTGGGAGATCTTGTTGTCCCAGAACATGGTTCCTGTCTACTCTGCCTGATCACCTGTCCCTTGTATCTATAGTTATGCTCCGTGGAGGTCACTTGTGAATCAGGTAGTGTCATGGCAGCCACCCTGGCCAATGGAGGAATCTGCCCCATCACAGGCGAGAGCGTGCTGAGCGCTGAAGCCGTGCGCAACACCCTCAGCCTCATGCATTCCTGTGGCATGTATGACTTCTCTGGCCAATTTGCTTTCCACGTGAGTGTTTCTGCCCTGTCACTCATCTGTCATATACCCAAGATCAGGAAGAGAATACACTGGTCTCTGAAGCGGAAGCTTGTTTCTGCTTCCCATTCACAAGCCTGCAGCCAGGCGAGAATGTATTACACACATACCACATCCCTCAAATATGTAGGCACATGAGTCACTCCTGGGTAAGCCTTTACAAGGCTGGCTCTCCTCTGCATCTCAGCTTACATATCACCTCTAAGGAGAGGTTTATTTTTAGTGTATCTGGCACTGGCAATGGAAGCCAAGCCTCATTGTGTTGGACCACTGAGCTGTATCTGCAGCCCTAGCAGCTTTTCTGACTGCCCTTTTTCAAACAAATCTGCCTCTCCCTCGTCACAGCACTCTATTTCTCAGGGTTGATCAGAATTATTTTTAGCTATTGCCTGTCTCTTACCCCAGAATGTAAGTTACATGAAAAGCTTTGCACTAGTTTCAGCACAGCATCCAGTAAGCATACTATCAGTAATATTTCAATAAACATTTCCTAACTATCCATGGACTGGGGGAGGATGGCATTGAGAAAAGAAGTTAATTAATAAGCCCAAAGGTTAAGGTGGATTGTGGCCTTGTCTATGCAGACACTTCAAATAGCCTGCCTTATTTGTTTCCCTATTTGAGCAACCCACAGCTTATCTTCAGCATCTAATCTGTTCTCTAGGTGGGCCTGCCTGCCAAGTCAGCTGTGTCAGGAGCCATCCTCCTGGTGGTACCCAATGTCATGGGAATGATGTGTCTATCACCACCATTGGACAAACTGGGGAACAGCCAAAGGGGCATCAGCTTCTGCCAGGTGAGTGGCTCTGTGTGTCCTACTTAATATTTATCAATTAAGCAACAAGTTAATGATAGCAACTTTATTTTAAGCAAACAAAGCAATTTTGAGCTCCTACCCAGTGCAACTGGACAAGCTATTGTTACATCTCTGACTTACAATTCTAGAAGTTGGTGTCTCTTTTTAATTTTCACAACTATGACAACCTGAGGCACTGTGCTCGGAAGTTAGACCCACGGCGTGAAGGTGGAGAAGTTCGGGTAAGGAAAACCTCGGCTGGCTCGGCAGGATTTCTCAGAACAAAATAATCTGTTACATTTCACCAATACCCTTGACTAAACATCCATGGAGAAGGGTTACAAGGTAGAGCTGGGCCTGGGTGTATTCAAAGCCAGTTAATCTCAGGTGGGGTATCTGTGTTCCAGAACAAGACAGTGGTGAACCTGTTGTTTGCTGCCTATAGTGGAGATGTCTCAGCTCTTCGGAGGTAACTCTACTGTATATCAGATATACACAATAAAATACAAGTCAGAGATCTTATTAGGAGGTAACATACCAAGACAGTTAAATTACACCAACTTTAGGGTTAGCCAGAATGGACAGAGATTACTTTTTTTTTTTTTTTTGCCAGTCCTGGTGCTTGAAGTCAGGACCTGGGTACTGTCCTGAGGAATCAAAGCCAGGGCTTCCTGCATGCTAGGCAAGCACTCTACCACTCAGTCACATTCCTAGCCACAGATTGCATTTATATGCGACAGAAAGCAAAATGCCAGCCATGTAAATACTTAATTAGTGGCAGTCACTGGTCATTGAATGCTAAGAGCATGGTCCTAGGAGGCAAGGATCCCCTCTCAAGTGGATTACCAACACCAACAAATATACACTATAACTAGGTGCCAGTGATCCTCCTGGAAGCATCACACTCCCATACTGAAAGTGGGATGGGACAGACTTACAAGTTACAGAACACATTATACAGAGCCACAGATATTAACATTAATCATTTTACTTTTCCTGAATCCCATCCAATCTAACCCAACTACAGAAAGGATACAGAGGATTCTCGACTGATTGGGATAACTCTAGCTGCTTTCCACTATCCTCAGGTTTGCTTTGTCAGCTATGGATATGGAACAGAAAGACTATGACTCCCGCACAGCCCTGCATGTTGCTGCTGCTGAAGGTACCTAAAGAGTGGAAGAGGGGAGGCAGCGTGTGAGACCCTTTCTTTCCTACTGAAAGTGTCCCATTATATGTATAGTTATACTATTAGTATTAGCAGCAAAATCCCAAGGCCTTTTCTCTTGCCCTCTTATGTAGACTCCAGTTGCCAAAGGTCTATAACAGAGTTCAGGACCCATATCCTCTTCTCACTTTCTTTTTCTTTTTTCTTTCTTTCTTTCCTTCCTCCCCCCCACCCCCCCGCTTTTTTTTTTTTTTTTGCCAGCCCTGGGCACTGTCCCTGAGCTGGTTTTGCTCAAGGCTAGCATGCTACCTCTTGAGCCACAGCACCACTTCCAGCTTTTTCTGTTTATGTGGTACTGAGGAATCGAATCCAGGGCTTCATGCATGCTAGGCAAGCACTCTACTACTAAGCCACATTCCCAGCCCCTCCTCTCATTTTCTTCTGCCCATATTCCTAGGACACACTGAAGTTGTTAAATTCCTGATCGAGGCTTGCAAAGTAAATCCTTTTGCCAAGGACCGGTGAGTAAGATTAGGCTAAAAGTGAGGACAATGGTACAACCTCATCACCACCACCTCCCAGCCACCAGCCACTGTGCACATGATACAACTATGGCATTCCCTGTGTCTTCTTTGCCTAATCATGTTCACTGCTCTGTCAGGTGGGGCAACATTCCTCTGGATGATGCTGTGCAATTCAATCACCTGGAGGTGGTCAAACTGCTTCAAGATTATCAGGACTCCTACACACTCTCTGAAACTCAGGCTGAGGCAGCAGCTGAGACCCTGTCCAAAGAGAACTTAGAGAGCATGGTGTAAGCACAGGTCATGGACAGACCCTGCTCAAGGAAAAGCATGAGCTGGCCACATACCTCACCCATGCAACCACCAGGAATAATAGGAGAGATGCTTCCGTGGGAACCAAGGCCATTTGGTGATACAAGCCAGTACTTTCTGTGCGAGTCAAAACACCCCATCCCTCTATGAACAGAGCACAGAGAAGGTCCTCAGTGGACACCTGCAGTAGAGCTATCCACAGAAACACAAGTATAATCTAATAGCCTGGCCCACTAAAAAACCATAACAGGTCCCCTTTCTCTCCCTGAAGAAACCATCACAAGAGAGAGACTTCAGAGAAAGGACCATGCACTTGTGTGTATCACAGAGAAGGAGGTGCCAGTACATCTAGATTTAGTAGTCTTAGTCTGACCCCAAAGCCACGACAAGCTGCTGCTACTGCTAACAACAATTTTATAGACAGAGAAAGTATTTTGTGCTCAAATAAACTTTAATTACACAAATGATTTTTGTTAAACTTAAGTCATTCTTTTTCCCCTAGGGTTTCTAATTTCATCACCATCATAGAAGGTAAAATAAGGTAGAACCACGGGGTCTAGCAAAGCCCAAACAATTCATATATATATATATATATATGTATATATATATATATATATATATATATATATATATATATATATATATATATATCTGTTCCACTAGGTTTTCCTCAACCCCCCCAATACTGCTTTAGGTTAAGTATATCCTGTTGCCAAGGAGACATGAGGGTTTGGGTCTACATAGGCCAAAAACTGGATTATGCAAAACTCTAGTCTCCTTTTCTCAGGAAGTTTCAATTATAGTGATATGAAGAGGAACTTCTTAAGAATAAAGCTTCTAGCCTGGCGCCGGTGGCTCATGCCTGTAATCCTAGCTACTCAGAAGGCTGAGATCTGAGGATCACCGTTAAAAGCCAGCCTGGGCAGGAAAGTCTGTGAGACTCTTAATAAACCACTCAGAAAACTGGCAGTGGCACTGTGGCTCAAGTGGTAGAGTGCTTGCCTTGAGCTGAAGAGCTGATGGACAGTTCCCAGGCCCAGAGTTCAAGCCCTACAACCAACCAAAAAAAAAAAAAAAAAAAAAAGAATAAAGCTTCTGGATCTAATCCTTTAGCTATCCCCCTAGAGTTTCTTCCCCTTTGGTAAAAGCTGTTACTGGCACAATGACAAACTGGCTGGGTATCAGAGGTACATGGACTTGGCTTAGGATAGCTGCAGCTGTGTGGGGCTGAGGGTCTATGGCACTGAGGTACTAGGGGAGGAATACCTTCTCACTGACCCACTGAGTAAATAAAGTACCCAAGGAGCTAGAGCCTAGACTTTTTAGGTGCTGTAGAGAAAAGGCAAGTCACTGTACCACCCCTGCAGTCAGAGGTAGAAACAATTCACTCTGGAGAGATCTGGTGAGCCCCCAAAACACAACATGTGGGTAAGGAAAAGAGAGGTATCACGGTTAATATACTGGAACAGTACTAAAAGGCAAGGTTCCAGGACTGAACAGTCTGAGGGGCCAACAGAACCAAGACAGGGAAAATATACCCCCTGTAATTTAGGGAACTGGCAGTAATCTGAGGGGAAAGCTTGGCGGTATGCCTAGTTTTCACAGGACGGACAGAGGACCTGATACTGAATTGTGGAGCTACTGATTGCTTTGGGGCAAAGTAAAACAGCTTCAGACATTTTTAACTCAAGGCTGGCCAAAAAGCATGATAAGGGACTTCAGTAATGGGCATGCTAGAGACCCTCTGGCACTTCAAGCCCTGAGTGAGTGAGCAGCTCTCCATCCCAAAGGGCAAAAGCAGGCACCACTGGACCCCGAAAATCTGTCTGTAGCGTGTGTATCACAGAGACCTGGCTCACATCCACCAGGCTCAGCTTCTTGGCCTCATATTCCAGCAGCAGCCCCACCTTCTCTGGATGCCCAATTCCCTCAATTGGGGCTTTCTCGTTGGCCAACATGGTATGCCACTTGCGCTGGGCATAGGAGAAGACCCAGGAACGGTCATCGACACCGATGCAGCTATCACGGGACATGTCCACATCTGCCACTCCTATACGGAACTGCTGGGACCGTTTCACTGTCACCTCCCAGTAGTGTCTGCCATTGGTGACCGCTGTGTCTGCCAACACCACTGCCCACTCCCGGAAGCGCTCCACATTCAGGGCCACCTGAGTGGGCTCCAATCCCACTAAGCCATATTTGACACCTGTGTCCTTTTTGAAGAGTGCCAGGCTGCTGTGGGCGGTTTTTTCTTCCAGTTTGAAACTGACGCCTGCGGGCAGAGCAAAAAAAAAAAAGACTGGATATCACAAAGGCTTAGGCTTAAGACTGCTGATCTCCAGATTCTGATCTGAAGCCAGCAGTCGGATCACGAGGAAGCAGGGGAGTCAGAACGCCAAGATGGCAAGAGTGAAGTAGGGTGGCGATCATACGGCAACGCGACGAGCCAACAACTCAGACTAAGCAAGCCTCAGCCTCGGCAGAAATCAGAGGATGCGCAAAGTTGAGACTCTGGACTGAGGCAGGTGGGGGAGGGGACGTGGTTCGAGGGGCCTGGCGTTCTTGGCTCGGGAAATAAGAGGCGGGAAGTGCTTCCGAGGTAAAAGAGAGCAAAAGGAGATAACGACCCTACCTCTCCGGGCCTCCCCGGCTGCAACCCCCCATCGTTTGGCTCCCCAGCGGCACAACCGCGCAAAGGGCAGCGCCATCTTACGCCACGGATGCACGGGGCACGCCCCCATGCGGGAGGCCCGGCCCCCGGGCGGCCTGCGCCCAGACCACGTGATGCGCCAGGCGGCCGCGCAGCCTGATGACGTGAGAGCCAGGACCTGAGGCGGGCGTCGCCATCTTAATGGTTTCCTGCACAGTTTCTTCTGCTCTTTGAAGGGTGTTTTCCGTTCTTTTGTTTACTTATAGTGTGTGAGTGGGGAAGTGCTGCTTGCATTTGAACTAAATAGGACTCTTAGAACAATAACCAGATGCTTAGAAGTTATGTATGTGCTGATCCTGGGGCTAGGACTCAGGGCCTGGGCACTCAGGGGCCAGGCATGAGTCCTGGGCATGTGGCTGCTATTTAGGTTTGTGTGAGTTGGTTTTTTTTTGGGGGGGGGGGGGCAGGAAGGGGGTTCTTTTTATCTTTCTTTCATTCTTTGTTGTTGTTGGTCGTGGGGCCTGAACTCTGGGCCTGGGCACTGTCCCTCAGCTCTTCAGCTCAAGGCTAGTGCTCTACCACTTGAGCCATAGCACCACTTCTGGCTTTTTCTGCTTATATGGTGCTGAGGAATCGAACCCAGGGCCTCATGCATGCAAGGCAAGCACTCTACAACTGAGCCACCTTCCCAACCTCCATTTAGGTATTTTTAAAGTTAGTCTTTCCAGAAACAGAGAGCTTTTTGAAGAGCTGAGGGACAGCGCCCAGGCCCAGAGTTCAGGCCCCACGACCGGACCCCCCAGAAACAGAGAGCTTTTCTTTTCTACCACCATCACCACACACTAGTTTCTCAGTAATTTTGTTAGGAGGATTTTCAATTTTCAATTGTTGAGTGAGCTGCCTTGGAGATACTTATTGCATAGGTGTCTTTCTTTCTTTCTTTCCTTCTGCCAGTCCTGGGGCTTGAACTCAGGGCCTGGGCACTATCTCTAAGCTTCTTTTGCTCAAGGTTAGTGCTCTACTACTTTTTTGTTTGTTTATGTGGTACTTAGGAATGGAACCCAAGGCTTCATGAATGCTAGGCAAGCACTCTACCACTGAGCCACATTCCCAGTTCTGCATAGGTGTCTTTACTAATTCCTTTCTGTAGAACCTAAACACAAATACCAAACAGTTCAACTTTAGTCTGTTTGGCCTACATTAAAAACTTATCTGGGGGACTGGGAAGTTGGCTCAGTGGTAGAGCGCTTACCTTGCATGCCTGAGGCCCTGAGTTCGATTCCTCAGCACCACATAAGCAAAAAGAAAAAAGCCAGAAGTGGCGCTGTGACTCAAGTGGTAGAGCGCTAGCCTTGAGCTGAAGAGCTGAGGGACAGCGCCCAGGCCCAGAGTTCAGGCCCCACGCCCGGACCCAAAAAAAAAAAACAAAAAACTTACCTGTCCTGAAAAGTGTGACACACAAAACCAATTGATCTTCCAGTTGAAAACTACTGTTTTGCTTCAAAGATGATCATTTATCAAAATAACCACTCAATTTGGAATATTGTCTTTATTCACCCACAGATGAATTGTGGCAAGCATTTACATGTTCCTCTTTTATAAGTAGACAGTAGACAGTAGACAGGTACTCTACCACTTGAGCCATGTTCCTAGTCACACATTTTTTTAAATAAAAAATGACAGTAGAAAAGGGAGTTGTATGTGTACATCTTCAGTGTGCAGTAGCCTATTCTTTCCACCAGGGTTCAGTCTGGCCAAACTTTATCAGCCAGCTAAATGTGAGAAACAAGTTTTGCTGCCTTTATGAGGAAAATGCTAGAAGGTGAAATTGCTTCAGCTGGTCTATCAGTGCTTTTTATTTTCATAATAAAGAACAAGGTGACATGAGGGCTAAAACAGTAGATACACACTATTTGTCACTTAAGACACCTCCATTATTCCTTACTCAGAATAAATTTGCCTGTCATATCATTTTACTTAAAAAAATTGGGAGTGGGGTGGGGCTGGGAAGGTGGTTCAGTGGTAGAGTGTTTGCTTCACAGGCATGAGATCCTGGGTTCGATTCCTAAGCGCCACATAAGCAGAAAAAGCCAGAAGTGGCACTGCGGCTCAAGTGGTAGAGTGCTAGCCTTGAGCTGAAGAGCTGAGGGACAGTGCCCAGGCCCAGAGTTCAGGCAATTAAGAAAAAATGTTATTGAAAAGGTTATGTACAGAGGAGTAACAATTACATAAGTCAGATAAAGAGTGCATTTCTGCACTTCCTTCCTTCCTTCCTCTCTCTCTTTTTTTCTTTCAGCAGTCCTGGGGCTTAAACTCAGGGCGTGGGCACTGTGTGTTAGCTTCTTTTGCTCAAGGCTAGCACTCTAACACTTGAGTTGAAGCACCACTTCCAGCCTTCTCTACT